AAGCATAGGTATCTTCCTATTTAAGGTATTGTCGGGCACTAAATATGAATACTTCTCTTAACAAATATTCAAACCTTGATTTACCATGTTATAAGTACTAGCCCCTTCTAAGTGCACTAAATGGTGCAAAAATATTATAACCATTACGTCATCTTATTTTACTGTTTATCAAACATGTCAATAAAAAAAATTGTACAAAAATACTCATAAAAGTTGTAAAATGGTTTAAAAATACCACAGCCATCAAGTCAGCCAATAACACTAATCATTTAACAAATACCCCCTGCTCACGTGGCATAATGTTTTCGTTCCTGGTAGCCCTGTTAGCTGCTACAAGGACTTTTACACCACACAATACCCCTCCCCTGTCTTCCCCATGTTCTTTTATTTCTTCATCGTCGATGAATAATGTTAGAAGATTTGGTCACATTGATTTTCCCGATGATGGATGAGTCATCCTCAACCTCCTTTTCGTCATCCTCCTCTTTATTTGCTTTCAGCATATGGTTAATTTATAGCAAGGGTGCCCTTAATCCACAACTCATTAGCTTTGAGGTAACATCACCGACAACGAATAAACCAAAGAAAAAAATGGTGCATGAGGTGGATGGGGGAGGTGCAACCATTGTGTCGTGTAAAAGATCCTGCGATGACGGATACTGCTAAGGCGCTAAGGAAAAAAAAAAACTTGTACAACACGCATCAGAATTGTTTGCTTCATGACCAACATTAGTTGTCTTAGTTGCCTTAACGATCACGGCGTTTTTGTATCATTTTAAATTTTTTTATGCATTTTGTACCAAAAAATTTTATGGTGTGAGGTGTGCATACATAGCAAATACTTCACGCGTAAATCTTCACCTTTTTCTTATATTTGGAGGTAGTGGCGTGCATGTCAATCCAAATTTCTGCGTTATATGCGGATGTTTCATCAACTTCAAAATAACAATCATTTTTAAATGTTGTACATATTAAAAAAGTAATTATATAATCTATTTTTTATCTGATACAATTAAACATATATAAACATGTGAATGTCAAGCTTGAACTTATGATCTCACCCAAACGTAGCTGGTAACACTGCCACCAAGATAATTTACCATTGACTACTATAGAAAAATCTAATGGTATTGGACTAAAACACTATTGTATTAATTAAATACCTTTATTTCTTTTTTTCGACCTAATTATTTTTTAGTTAAGGGTAAAACAATACAAAAATAATTAATATTTCAGTAAAATCATAAAGCAATGAATAATTTGAAATATAACAAAAATTTCGAAAGCTAGGTGTGTTTGGTGGGGTGGGAGGGGAGGGGAGGGGAGATGAGCCCCTCCCCTCATTTGGTTAAAAATTTTGGAGGGGAGGGAAGCTAAAATGTCCCCTCCCCTCCCCTCCCCTCCCTCCCTCCCTCCCTCCCTCCCTCCTTCCATTTTGGCTCCCCTCCAAATTGGGGGTTTTTGGAGGGGAGTCAAAATTTTGGACCATTATGCCCTTATGATTTTTTTAATATTTCACTTCTACCCATAAATATATTATTATAATATTTATTTCAAATAAAAAATATATTATCCTAAGTAAAAAAAATAAAAAATATATACATTATTATAATTAAAAATATATTATAAAAATTATTTAAAAATAAAAATTATTTAAATAAAAAATTATAATATTATAAAATTAATTGTTTTTTATAAATATATTATTTATTAAATATATTTTAAAGCTGGAAAAAAAGATAGCCTAAAGAAAATAAAATTTCATTTTCCTTAGAGCATATAAAATTTGTTAATTTGATTATTTTAAATATATTATTATATTAATTAGAATGAAAAATTACTATACCAATTTTTTAATACACATATTAACATGATAAGACTGAATTTTGATTAAATTATATAATTTAAATTAAGATGTAAATTAATTTATATAATACATCAATAAAAAACATAAACTAATATATAAGGGTAAAATGATAAATTGATTATTACTATCCCTCCCCTCCCCTCCTTGAACCAAACAAGGGATCATTAAATACCCTCCCCTCCCCTCCTTTTTAATCAAACCAAACAAGGTGAGGATGAAACCTCCCCTCCCCTCCCTCCCCTTCCCTCCCCTCAAACCAAACAGGCCCTTAATCCCTAGTTCATGCATGTGTTTAACGAAGCCACCTTTATTTACTAAGACCCAGGTCATATACCAAAAACTAAATGAACAAATAGCAGCAAGCAAATCTCTCGAAACTTCATGGTTCATAAAAACGCAAATGTGCTAAACTTTCCAATAACTGAAGCGGCAGATTAGAATTGGCTAAAATATCCAAATTGGGTTTCATAGTCAAATTTCAACTATTAGAGAGAACCATACCTATGCCAAACAAAAAGGTAGTTAATATTTTTTTGGCAGCTTTGGACCTTCAAAGTCTTCAAACCCAACACCGACCACAAAAGTAGCCTCACCTTATGTATGCCATCAGGATGAGAAGCCAAGATTAAGGCTTAACTTGAGTCTCTCGGCATTAGCTCTGCCACTTAAGATCTGGACATTGGAACTCTTGGCACACTGAACTCGGCAAGAAAGAAATCTAGTCCCCCTAATCTACTTCCTCGGTACCCTTCCTTTTTAGGATGTGTTTGGATCAAAAAAATGTAGGAGAAGAGAGATTTTAATGAAGAAAAAGAAAAGAGAAGAAAGGATGAAAATTTTAATATTATTTTGTATAGATTGACGAGAAGAGAAGGGAGGGAAGAGATATTTTAAGATCTAATATATGATTTAATAAGATTGTAATAGTTACCATCCCTTGCATACATGATGTAAGATCAGAAAGATAGTAAAGGGATATTAAAAACTAATTATAAACATTTCAGTAAAAACAAGCTAAAATATTACCATTTTTTTTCCAAATCTTTCTAATTTGGGAGAGGAGGGTTATGAAGGGAGAGGAGGGAAAATATTTAAAAAAGTTCCCTTTCCTTCTAAAAATATTAACAACCCAAATAAGTAGAGGGAAGGAAAATCGCCTCTTCTCTCGTATCAAACAAGCCCTTACTTTTTTCAAGGTAGCTCTTTGTTTGACTTCAACCTCCTCAAACCAACATTGTTTTAAGAAGCTCGCACTGGAAGGAAGATCAATTTTCATTTAGACAAGACTATTTTGGAGATATTAAAAGCTTACTAGTCTTTTTTTTTTTTTTGTAACTGTCCTTTCATCAACCCTTCTTTCTCACCGCTTCTAAAAGTTCTCAATTCTACAGTCGTATTTTCTTTTGGATGGATGAAGAGAATGAATGATTTCTTCCAACTAGTGATCGACTGATCGTAGGCTTTCGAAAGATAAGAACAAAGCTCAACATGGTAGATTTGACCAACAATGGCGAATCTAAGAATTTTGGGGCTAGTCGCCGGCTCGTCCTTCTTAAAATCCTAAAGGAGGAGCTCTCATCAGTCGACCAAAAATTTTCCAGTAGTACTTTGATCTTGTTCAAACGATTAATCGCCACGTTGTGCACATGTCTGTAATCTTATCTAAGAAGCCAGAGCTACGCTCTCATGCCATCGCGAAGCTTATTTATTTTTTGAACACTAGAGCAAATAATTTAGTTGCAGATTTCTTGGCTAATTTAGGACACCCCTTTGATCAAATTTATGAGTTGGTGATGATCAAAGGAGGAACCTTTTTATCTGACTCTGTGCCTCTGTTCACTTCTTTGTAAATATCAATCCCTGTGTTCTATTCCAAAAACAGCTTTTTTTGGTACAAAAATTTTAAGAAAGGAATTGGATTCACCCACGATTTAAGGACAAGGCACCTAACGCTTGGTTCACTAGGGCCTGTCCCTACGGGCACAGGAGCATGACAAGCAAGTTTTTTTTCTTCTGACCCAATAGGTAGGAATCTCTTAACTTTACTGTACTGTAGTGATGCTTACAGCGACTGGAACTACAACAAAATGATACTCTCTAGGATTGAACCCCTTTCTTTTAATGAAAGAGTCCAACCTCTTCGCCAGTTGTATTTCAAAAACAGTTTAAAAAAAAAAAAAGAATTGATGCTATCATGGACAGTGGACAGTCCACGTGATGGGTTCAATGGTATTTTGCTTGAGGACCAACTGGAATTCACTACCCCTAGACATTGAAACGTTCAGGCTTCTTAACCTCTGGCGTATTATCGAATGAGATTAGATCTATTAGAAGAGATCAGTCCCCTAATACATGATAAATCAAAATTTGAATTTCGGGAAAAGGTGTCTATATTTATTTGACAATAGTTTTGAATATGATTGTTTCTAATAAGAAAATACTTGTGTTTAAGGGGAAAAAAACCTTTGATGTATTCCCTCCTTTGATATTAAACCAAAGAAGAGGTTAATTGAGTTATGTCCTTCCTAAATTACCTATCTTTGATACCAAAAGATTATCTAGGGTGATAAAAATACAATTTCTTTTATTATTAAATAGATTTTTATCAAAAAATCCAATTACATTTATCATAAATATAAACAGTTTATTGCAATTGATTAATTTTTATAAATATTGTGAATATGATTTTTAATTTATCATTTTAAATTATTATATATATTTTTGTTAAAGCACATGTATCCTCATATTGGAGGTAATCCTATCTGGGTACTGTCAGCCACTAAATGTGAGTACCTCTCCTAATAAGAATTCAAACCTTGATTTTTTAAATTATGAGGGACTAATTTTTCTACTAGACCCAACTCTGTTGGTAAATTAATTATATTTTAATCATATATAAAAGAACCAATTTTCATGATGTATTCATCTTCTTAAATTTACGAAAGAGAAGTGGCATCTTACTTTGGACCACTGTACAGGCAGAGCACTAGAGCAGTGTCATTAGGGTGGCCCAGTTTCGTAAAGGGGCCCTTTGACGTTAGCATTTCAAGAGGATGTCAAGATTTTTCTCGCTTCCTCGAGCGGCTCTTGTCGTCGTGGATGATGCATGGTTGTGACTTCAACACTATGGACAACTTTTATCCTAGCCGATCGCAGCACCACAAACACTAGCAACAAAATTGAAAGACACTCTGTATTGGGCACTGGATACAGTAGAAAAGGTTCCGAAGAAGGATAGGATATGGTAGAGGTTCTTCTGCAATTATCGCCTCCTCTACTTAAGTGGTCTTCCCATCCTCCAATTCGCCGGTTAGCAATCCCTCTTCTCTTTTCTGGCAGGAATTTGGTGGTGGCCTCTTCTTTTCTTCTTTCCTTGAGCATTTCCAGATTTTCTTCCCTTGAAAATTAGTTGCAGTTTCTTTTCCTTCAAATCTTTTTCCTTTTTCCTCGGACACCTCTCTCTTATTTGTTTTTGATACGGCCATATCCGGCTTTTTGGGACGCAATTACGATGTGGTAATCTGTCAGTTTTATTGTTTGATAAACAAGTTTGTACCTCGTTTTAGTGGGATTCTGAGCAAAGTTCTTGTCACTAAGATGTTTTGACGACATTGGTTTCTATTTATTTTATTATTGTTTTTTTCCCCGATATGATTAAATGTTATTTCACAAAATGCAGGGAAGTGACGGGAAAAACATTGGTTAAGTGCTCGTTGGAGAGCCCTTTATCAAGTAAGTTCCTGTCGAAGCATGTATTATCTGGTCTTGCTGCTTCCTTGATATTCATTTCTCCCATAAATCAGGTTTGTATTTGATATCCAGAGTGTTACAATATCGGGTTTAATTAGATGTGATCTTCTTACGCATATACTTTTTTTTTTTTTAAAAATATCAAAAACAAATATTATGCTCATTTGAGGCACAAAGGTGCCCAAAAATTACATGAGCATGGCGAAAGTCCCTTGTACTAGTATTTAACTGGAACTTTAGTATTTCTCGTTTCCGCGGTTAGAAAATGTTTAAGGGAAGACGGCGTTCCCCGAAAACGGAAGATATTGTTACCCTATATTGTTAGCATTGAAGTTTTGATCTTACAGGACACCTTATATTTCTCCGGGGTGCCGTACTTGTTGAGACGTATCTTGTATGATTTTCTGAATGCACCTTGTATTCGCCTTTAGTTATACATATTATATCATCCATGGAGAGGTTTCTAAGAATGTTGGATGTTCCTGTGGAGATATACATACTAGAATTTATGGTTTATTGTTAAGGAACTGGCTAACATGTCTCTTTGCATATGATGACAATTGAGGTGTTGCCAATTCACCTTGTTATTCCATCAACAGGCTGCTGCAGTAGATTTATCTCAACAAAATACATGCCAGCTTGCCAGTGCCAGTAATAATAATGGAGTTACTCTTCCAATTGATGATGGGTCTAATGAAAATGGTAGTAATCTCATGATGATGAGAGGCATGACAGCGAAGGATTTTGATCCTGTTAGATATTCTGGAAGGTGGTTTGAGGTAGCTTCACTCAAAAGGGGATTTGCTGGACAAGGTCAAGAAGATTGCCATTGCACTCAGGTAAAAGCTAAAATTAGTATGATTGTGAATCTTAAGGACGACATTTATATTAGGAAAAAGGTATATTGCGGTTAGGTTTCTGTTACGTTTTTCCCTATTAGACTTCCTGTTATTCTTAACATGTTACTGAAGCCTAAAGGCAGAGAGAGATCCTAAGGATTTGTTTGAGAGTTTTGAAGAGAATGAAGTTGAGTGATCAGTTGGTAATTAATGTCTCATTTGGTAGGAGGAAAATGATTACTGTCTTGCAATGTTTATTATACAATGGTCATCGTTACTGAACAATTTATCTCCTATTGCTTCTTGTTGCTTGTTAAAATAAGAATATGAGAATCATTCTGCATCTTCAAAATCATTTTTTTCCCATTCTATTCATTTTCTTGTCTTTCCATTTCGTGTACTAGACAGGCCCTAATGAAGAAGTTTGGAAGGGAATGTAGTGGAAGAGGAAGAGTTCCCTCTTCATTGTTTGGAAATTTAATGAAAAATGGATGGTAATAGAATCAAAATTGTTTAGGAGTCACAACGTCATTAATGGAATGGAAGAGATTAAAAAGTAGAATTTGCAATGTTAGCCTTTTATAGAAGTAAGGGAAAGTGAGGAAAAATTTGCTGATGAGGGGTATAACAATATAGGACAAAAATGTAGGGGAATCAAGACCTCTCAGTTGCACACCCGCTTGATCATCACAAACAAATGCTAAGGTTCTTGATTGTTCATTAGACGAACTGTGGATTATTTCTCAAAGAATCATTCATTATATTAGTTTTAATAGGCTAAAATATACATTTAGTCTTTTAATTCTTTATAAGATTTCAATTTAGTCTTTTAACTTTAAAAGTATATTCTTAGTTTTTTAACCCTAAAATCATTAACAAAAAATAATGACATCGATGAAACATTCTTAAATGCTAACATGTTAAGTTTAATTTTCAAGACAACTATGATTGTTACAAAAAATAATTATTTAAGACTAACAATTTTAGGGTTAAGGGACTAAAAATACACTTTTTAAAGTTGAGGGACTAAATTGAAACCTTGTATAAAAGTAAAGGACCAAATATATGCTTTAGCTGTTTTAATATGTTAGAAATAACCCTTCTCGTTCAGTTTGGTGGATGCTCATACGTAACTGTTTTTATTAGGTTTGTCGTCCATAAGCTTCTTGCCATTAATCTGGGTAGGCCAAAAACGTTTCAGGGTGTGTATACATTTGACAGGGAGACACCCTCTATTCAAGTTGATACCTTTTGTGTTCATGGAGGACCGGATGGATTTATAACTGGAATTAGGGGAAGGGTTCAATGTCTTTCAGAAGATGATTTGGAGAAAAAAGAGACAGAACTGGAGAAGCAAGAAATGATTAAAGAGAAATGCTATCTCCGATTTCCCACATTGCCGTTCATCCCCAAGGAGCCATATGATGTGATCGCTACTGATTATGACAATTTTTCTCTCGTTTCAGGAGCAAAAGACAGAGGTTTCATTCAGGTATCTTTGTCAGATAATAAGCTATCATTCCAACTTCTATGCCTCGTGTTATTTTTACCTATATCTCATTGTTTAGAAATAAAGCCATGAGCCCCTTTTGCAAAATCAATTGCTATTGATCAGCATCCAACGTATTGTCAAGCTTTTCTCAGCACCCCTTTGGTATTCGGTTGGAAAGGGACTCTGATGTACTCTACATAACAGATTTCCTTTTCTTCCTTCTTTCGCAACAGCCCTTTTTTAATTGTTGTTGTTATTTTTGAATAAAGACACTGATAGTCATTGTTGATGTTAAAATTATTTTAAAATTGCGCATTACATTCCATTATTCTCCATTATGTGCATTAAACAGGCAATGCTAGGTTGTATCTTAATAGTGGAGACTTATTAAGAAGTTGAACTTGGTCACCATTGGGGCATTTCAGGTTAAGAATTAATTTGGACCTCCTGAGGTTAAAATGTCTTTGAAGTGATAGAGAAAAATGATACAAGCGGTAAGAATGTGCATGGGCTTGATGCATTCATTTTACAAGCTTCTGATTTCAGAAGATCTAAATCTGCTCAGAACTACACACGCATTTGAGTGCGCGTAGCGAGTCTTTCTGTATTATTGTAAATTTGACTAGCTAAATGAATAATTTTTGAAAGAGGATTCAATTATAAGTTACTTTTAGTCACAGAAACTTTCATGCTAATGCTAAAATAGATTTTATCCCAGTTTTATATTGAATTAAAGATCCATGAATAAGTTTATTATCAGCGCCCCCATTGATACTTGGGATTGACGCATTCATATCCTTGTCTTCAATCAATATCTCAGATATACTCCAGGACACCAGACCCTGGACCTGAATTTATAGAGAAATATAAAGCTTATCTGGCCAATTTTGGATATGATCCAAGCAAAATCAAAGACACACCTCAGGATTGTGAAGTGATGTCGAATAGTCAGCTGGCGGCTATGATGTCCATGTCTGGAATGCAGCGGGCATTAACCAATCAGTTTCCTGACCTAGAACTGAAGTCCCCTCTTGAGCTTAATCCCTTGACTAGTGTATTTGACACTTTGAGGAAGCTTGTTGAGCTTTATTTTAAGTAATAACTACGCCGATCAGATCCCATTATGCTTTGTTTTTGAAAGAGTTCACAGCTGGCACGTCGGTGCGCGGATTGACAGTTGACAGCAACTAATATAAGACCTCATTTAGTCTATTACAATTCAATAGTTCAAATTAATTATAAAAAGCCAAAAATATGTTAAAACAAGTGTATATAAAAATCATGTCTGATCTGTGTGTGTGTATATTATTCTGGTGATTGACTTGGTTGACATGTTATTTTAGAGTAAATTAATGATTTTATCTTGTGATAGTACTCTCATCAATTTGGTTATGTAAAGAGAAACGATTTTTAAAATTTATTCCTTTAAAGATTTTCTCAATCAAAATGGTATCTGCTTCAGATAACTTTCTCTCAAAAATAATTTGGACTTTTGGAGCTTATCTTGCCTTTGATTCATGACTTGGGCTTACTTAAGCAGTTGACATCATTTAGAAAAAATTGAAAATTTCGGATTATATATCCTTGATAATTAGCGGAGAAATTTATTTGTAATGATATTGTATTCATTGGAGAAAATTTTTCGGCCTATATTTAAGGCTATTATGTGGTCAATTATTTTTTTAAAAAAAAGGATATGATTGATATTATGGTTAGCTTACTCTAATATCTATTTTCTGGAGCCCCTAGGAAGTTTCTGATTACTCAAGTATGAGATTGATGTCTGTCATTATGGTTGTTTATAACCATGTTATATGGATCAGATAAGAAAAAGGAAGTTCACCTTTCTTCCATGTACAAAATAAGTTGTGCATCTTCCATTAACACGCATAAATGGATCGGATCACAAAGAATCTATATCTTTTTGGTAGTTATAATATTGCACTAAATTAATTTGAGTAAATTAAAAAATTATTTAAATTAGTTATTTGTACAAATTTAAGTTATTTTTCTAAAATACTTTTTTTAGATAGAAATTCCTTAACATGTGTAATCAATAAGAATACTTTAGAGGACGAATTATAAATTTGGATGACAAAATGGACTGTGATCTTATATTAAGGATCAAATTTAATTTCTAGCTAGTTTTTATATTAAAAATCAGAAATAATATATTGCATAATCTCAATCCATTGGTGGTAAAAATCTCAATCCAATATCAAGTGACAACGAATCTATTGTGAAGAAATAAGATAACGCCAAAGTTTGGTCCTAGTGTCTTCAACTGGAAAATATCCGAACCTAGCCACCAAAAAAAAAAAAAAAAAAGAAGCAACAGTCTAATAGTATCTTGAGGGCTTTGTCCTTGATGCTTCTATCACTTATGTACAATATTAGAATCCATTGCGCTTTATCGCCTTTGAGTTCATCAGATATTACAGTAGTCTTTGAGTATCGCGGAGGCTTTGTCCTTGGTGAACTCGTTAGAATATTGGGGCGTGTCTACATCGTTGTGATAGAGCAGAGGCTCTCATTAATTCGTGCGATGGGAGACCGAGGAGGGAACCCAATGCTCTAAATTCGGCCATGTCCAGTATCTGAGCTCTGGAGAAGATGATGTCAGGCTACGGTGAGAAGAGACCGACGGTCTTAACGCGCATTTCGTCCAACATTCCGCCACGGATGTAGTTCGAATTCTGAACTCATGCAGCTCGGCGGGAGGACTTGGAAGGAAGTTTTGGAAACCAATGACTTAATAAAATGGTTGGAAAACAGGGCCGTTTGGGGAGCAGCAGACAATAAAGGCAAAGGAGAGAACCCAAACGCGTAATATCAAGTACAGGACGCAGTACTCATCTTTAGAATGAAACAGTCAGTCCAATCACATTCGTCGTGTTGTAGACTAATTAATCATTCGGTTCTATAATTCAAAATTAAAAGGCATAATTCGAATTTGAAAGCTGGCACAACGTAAATAGCTATGTGACACACAGAGAACAAACTAATCATGCCTTCTGGACTGAAAAACTTAAAATGAAATCTCTAATTTCATCGTTGGCCCTATCAAGAGCCGTTCGTCCATCGGCATCTTTGACATCATACTTGCCTCCAGCTTTCAAGAGTTCCTCCAGTTTCGGCTTGTCACCCTCTGAGGCAGCTAGCATAAGCAAGATATCCACTGGGTGGATGTTCTGATTTAAAAGAGCCTCCATTTTAGAGTATGATCCTTCAACAGCAAGCATTCCCATGTAGTTGAAGTACTGGGAAAGATAACATCAGAGATATTATAATTATGCATAATGGAACGCTACAAAATGAACAGAAAAAATTACTACAGAACAAGTAGAAAGATCACTGAGAATGAAGACCCCAGTAAACATCCTTGTTTTCAGTACAGCGTTCAATAGAAGAGACTGGATGGACAGCACTGAGTTAAAAGAATTGGATCCTACTTCAGAAAACTCGTTATGATCGTTAAAGGAAAAACTATATGCATGCTAATTGTGAGTACATATGAATCCCAATCTAAATCGACGCAACATATTAAATAACTTCAATAAGTTGGGCTATAAATGCTCTCCATTTATTATGTAGCAAAGGTTGGGAAACGGCCAAGAGATCTGAGGATACATTAATTCCAGATTCATATCAATCCCAACCCAAAATCCTAAATCTTCAGCTCAACAGAGGCGGAAAAAGTAGATAAAAAACACCAATTTATCATCATTGGTGCAGCTGCTCATCCTCCATTACACATCTGTTTGCCTTTCCATTTTTCCCAGTTAGTTCCCAGAAAACAGAGCTAATTCATCAAGTCCCCATATAAACCTACTCTTGACGTTGGAGCATGAATAAGTAGTTCAAGAATAAAGACTACAGCCTTTTCTCTTGCATTTGATACGAAATTGAAACGCAGAATGAGATTCTTCAGGCTCAATCTCTCATAATCTATCATAATCCGAGACTGGAAATCACCAATGCATATCCTCCATAGTGCAGGGCAAAAAAAATCTAGATAATCAACATTAGTCTTGCTTATCTATAACTTATTCAACGAAAATGATCGCGGATTCGATCTTAATTATTCCGCATGCCCGACAAGCTTGTTAAGCAAAATAAGATTATTTTCACGTAATAATCTCGCACAACGCTAAACGACAAGCCAGCTATAACGAAACCTCCACCTAAGCAGGAGAACAACCACAACATTTCTATATAAACAACATTATTTTTCCTCACTCAGTACTCATCTATGAATACCTAAAATATCAAAACGATGACTATCTATGAACATCATATCCATACAAGCTAGAGCTACTAACACGAAACCAGATAGAGCAATAAAAAATTCAATATAGGGTGCTCACTTGTTCAACGTCGTCTCTATCGAAATCATCGCGGGATTGGCTACCATAGATTCCAGCTCCTTCAGCATCAACACCGTTTTTACCGAATTTGAACCAGCACTTGGCTCTGGAGCCATTGGAGGGTCCGATTCTAGAGGTGAGTCTGAGGAAACCAACTTTAGTTGTAAAAGCGAGGAAGGGAGAGTCCAATTTTGTGAAGGAGACGGGGGAAGCGAGGGATTTGGAAGAAATAGTTTGGTGGGTGGTACAGGAGGGGATGGAAGCCATTGTTGAGATGGCCAAGCGAAGACAGTGGCGGTATCTATCCGCTACTGCCGCAATCTCACATTTCTATCCACACGTGTAAATGCGAGGGCGAGCGTAATCGTAATTCGTAAATTCATTTTTCTTCTTATGAACATAATCGTAAATAAAGCCGTTAATTACATGTAGAATCAGTTAATATTTATAAAAAGATGATTTTAATTTGAAATAAAATAATTTTAAAATTTCACACCTAAATTTTCAAATTCAACATAGTGAAAAAAAAATCCATTGAACGTTAAAAAAAAAATCAGCAAAAATCTATTGAGCATAAAAAAAATCATTATGTCAAATTCAGCCTAAATTGCGCAATATATATTTATATATTTCCAGCTTAATCAAATCAATTCAACTTATGAACTATACCTTAGACGGCGTGTGGGATCTGGAGCTCATACTCCTATCAGCCACAATGACCCATGCGTCTTCACGATGCGAAATTTGTTTGGTGTTAGATCTGATCAAGGATAATCGAGAAGGTTGGAATGTTCTTTAAGTAGAGATTATGAATATGTCCTTTTTGTGTCTGGATAGTCCTGATTTTTTGATACGAGTGCTGAATAGTCACAAAAGGTTCCGTCGTCCGGTTGTCTTCTTGGTTAGGAAGGCCTATAGATTAGCAGCAGGGAAGGGGAAGCCTAGGATCCACCTCGGAGTTGGCAAGTTTTGTGGAAGATTTCGTTGACCCATGAGGTCTTGAATTCTTGATGTGCGTTTGGAAGTTCTTTAATAGAGCAGTTCCCATTGGTGAGGTGCTCCAGAGACATCATGTACTAGGCGATTTCATTTGTCCGTTTGTGGCACGAAAAGAGAATCTATAGATTATCTCCTGCCGAGTTGTGATTGGCCCAGAACTTTTTAGTCTGCATCTCCTCTTAAAATTAAAATAGAACAGATCTTACAATCTGGTTTTGTTATTGGGGTTAAGAGGTAACTAGCCAAGGTTGATTTGAGAAATAATATGATGGAATGCAGCAAGGGCGTCATCATGATTGTTTGGTGAGCTAGGAATACGATGTTTCATGGGAGGGAAACACGGATCACGTAGTAGCTTTATTAATCTCGTCTTGCTTTTTTGGGGAAGCAAAGAGAGAATTTCATATTCCAAAATGATCAGTAGGAGAAATTAAGTTATGGTTTACTAGCTTGACCCCTCATGAATTTTCCTCTCATACAAAAGATTGGACCCTAATGTGGAATCGGAATCTGTTGAGGGAGGATATGCAAAAATTTGCTCACGTTGATTTACGAGTCTCTCATCAGCACGCCACCACCTTGTGTAGGTCTTCCCTCCATGAGGCTATTCGGTCAAATGAGATGGTCACATTGGAGTGCTTTCATAGGATTCTCTGGAAGACAGAATATCAGTACGAGCGATGTGGCCCGAGACCCTTGCGAGGACAGAAGGGCAATATCAGCCGTTCATGATAGTTCCCACAGGTTTTCAATCTCCGCATGGAGATATGTTAATTTACCCCTCTTTCTAGTTTATTGCGTGTGATTAATCCTCCTATGTATACTATTCCTCCTGTTCTAAATATAAGACCCTTATACACACTAGTATAAATGTTATATTTAGGACCGGAGGAATACTAATTAAGGATTCATTGGATGTCATGCCACGTCCAATGAAAGTTGTAATGTTACTACCTCCACTACTAAATATAAAAACTAATTAGAGATTTAATTTAACCATAAATATAAGATTTTAATTTACTTTATCTATTATATTTATTTATTTATTTTCTAAAACAATCTTTATAGAAATTACATATGTTAAATGTTTTCATTCTAATACACATTGTTAATAAAGCATTTTGACTGTTTGAGTTCATCATTAGTGCTATTATTTGAAATCTATTCCCTACCTCTATTGATTTTTAGAAACTTTGTATTACTTCTTTCGATTCTTTTTATAAGAGCATAAAATTTGAATCGTCTTGATTCTCTTTATAAGATCCCATCTGAAATTTAATGCGTTTGTACCATTTTTGCCTCTAATTAATTTTGCATATTGTATTAATTAAAAAGTTGACAAGTTGTGATACTACATTCTCTTTCATATTTTCTCTCCCTTACTTGCCCCTTGTAAATAAGAGTATACTTAGAAAAAATTTTTATTCCTTATATATTTATTACTTTTAACTAATTTTAATAGTTTTTTTAAACTACGTAATTTAATTACGAGGCTCTTAAAAAAAAGACAAGGAGTATAGTTTTTCTTTGCATGCCAATAGCAAGAAGTCTCTTGCCACCAAATGCAGCTTGGCAACACTAATAATTGCCTTGTTTTGATATGAAACTATCGTAGGCCCTATTGATTTTATAATCTTTTTGACATTATGTAGAAACCAAGTTAGGCCATCATAAGTCCCGCTAGTAACAAAAGCATATGTTAGGAAAAACAATTCATTGTTTATGTCTTACGAAAAGCTACCAATAATTATTTTTTTTTTTGTTTTTTTTTTTAATGAAAACAACATTTTCCTATAAAACTACTCAGATGACATCTATCCATGTAGAGTCAGGCTCAGTAACATTGTAAAAGACCTTCAATAGAACATTTATAAGCAATGAATAGCCTCTCAAAATTGTTACTAGATGAATTTTCTCATCTCACTACCGTGTTGGGATCAGTTTGCATTAATTTCTTACATTTGAAAAATTACCATATAACAATCTTATGAACTACCATGTATTTCCCTCAAAGTTCTTGTTCTCCCAATGTATGTTTAAATGTAATTCAGGAACATAATATAATTTCTGATCAAGTTTCTCATTTTGCAGAAAACTCGGAGAAATGAGTCCTTAAGAGTTTTTTTCCCCCAATTGTATTAGAAATGGGTCCCTTGGGTTCTTTGATTGATTATTGATTCAGATTTATGAATGAATGATTTAAAATATATTCATATTTGTAATAACTAATGAATGTGGTTGGCTCACTGGTTGCCTCTACTTCTAATTATTTCCCATGAGCTTGAATTACATTGCTATATAAGGGTGAATGATCTTATGTCCAAGACAAATGGGCAGATAATTGGACTTTACCATAAGTCTATGATCTGCTTTCAAGTTTTAACAATCAAAAGGGAGGAAAAACATCCACGCATAATTTAGTGTTAAATATAAACCAATATAGAGGCCGGCAAGTCCTTCTGGTCAAAGAGTATTAAGCAAAAACCTGTTTTAATGACATATAGGAGTAGAAACAGGTAAGACTAAACCACGCTTCACCGGCCAGGCCTACTGACCTAAACCTGGCCTATGACCTACGAAAAGCTTTTTATTCGACCTAAGCTTAACCTGACCTAAAGCCTGTTAAGAGGCCTATATTTTAACAAATTTCAAAATTATCTAAAATACAAACATAAAACATGAAAGAATCAAATCAATTTGTTCTTGTTACAATTATAACAAATTATCAAACCGCAAAACCTATTAGTGCTTGTTGATTGACCTTAGTTGTATTAAGAGAAACTGAATTAGATGATATCGTTTCACTCTCAAATAGAGTTGACATTAATTAGAAGTGTAGAACTCAATAAATAATCCAAATGACTTATCACAAATATATGTTAGAGAGATCAAGACCAACAAACTCATCAAAAGTAACCTTGTTATTTTTCATCTGACACAAGATTGCTTGAGAAATGAATACCCAAAATAAAGGAACAACACATCTTGAATGATTTAGAATATGCATATTATGAAAACATGTAGAAGGAAAATGGTATTTAGCAAATAAACCACACACTATTCTGAAATGACTAAGAATCCTTCACATTCAACTTGGTTATTCAGTTACAAACCACACACATATATATATTAAGCAAATAAATAAGACCCATACTTCACTTTCTACAAATTCCTACTACAATACAATATAATGCATTTCCTAAAAATGCAGGCACACAGTTCTAGCCGTATCACATTAGACTCAAATAGATCAGTTTGACGACGTGACTCGTGCACTCATGCAGGTCCAAATAGGCAGAAATGGAGAAAAAATCAACTCAATTGATGTGAATGCTATGATCCAACGTCATGCCAAAACTAAATGAATTAATAGCACACCCTCAGTATACACCTAAAAATCAATAAGCAATCAATAAGACTTAAAAGGGGGAAAAAACTAAAACAAATATATTTGATGAAGTATCATGGCATCATCTATCTTGTTCATTCGTATGTAACGTATGAATTATTTATAAATCCCAAGACCCTCAGAACAATGTTATACTCCTTGGGATAGGCAGAGCACGACTATATGTGTGTGTGTGTGTATGAACATGAGCCACATACCTGATAATAGAGGTTGGAGATAGAGCGTCGTGGCGTCAGCAACTGAGCAAAGAACAGAAGAATCAAAGAGGTAGAGCACAGTCACGAAAAACAGACAGCAAAGAATGAAATGGAAGAAGCAATAGGCAGAGTATGAGTGATAAACGGACAAATCAAAAAATGGAAGAAGCCAACCCGAAGACTGTGCGTGCACGATTCTGCGAAGTGTATGTGCCGTGTGCGATGCGATTTTGCGAAGTGTGTGAGCAACGTGTGAAACTAAGAATGGAAGAAGCCAAGAGGAGGAGCAGCGGCGCCCAGGTTAAACTTCAATACTTTAGATAGGTTATGTCAAATCTATAATTGTAACACAAAAAAAAAAAAACAAAATATGCCCAGGCTGCCTCACAGGCTTACGCCTGTCAGCGAGCCTGGACCAGACTTGATAACATAAACAAGCTTGAACCTGCTCTTGTATTTAAATAGGCCAAAACATAGGCCTTGATAGGTTGCCTGGCCTATTTCTAGACACTCCAATTATAAATGTAAAGATCACAACCTAGCAGATGCTCTCAAAATTATAAACATCTCATGATCAGTGAAGGCAAAAAGAGTCTGAGGAAACATGCTACTGAAAGACTCTACTGAGACAAAGATGGGCTGTCAAGAATGTAGAGGAGGTAGGATGAACAGTTGGTTAGATCTAGTATGGATCGTACAGTGGCTCTCCTAGGTTTCCTCATCTGGGGAAGAGGATCAAGTTGGCCCTTGCGAACGGCTATTGGTCCCACTGACATAAAACAGACCGGGGCTAAGGTATCTGTACTTAGGACCTCTGTCCAAATTCTCACCTCACCTAACCACCAAAAATTGCGAGAGATAACATTGACAACGCATAAAGCAATTAATTTTTCCAACACGACATTTCATAAGTAAATATAACTACATTCATTAATACAACAAATTGTGAATATGGCTGCACGAGCAATTAATTTCGAGCAAAAACTACGCTGCATAGGAATCAAACTGCCGAGAGGCTAGCCCATTTCCCGAGCTCATATGGATCCGCATAGTAATATAATTTAATTCTATTGGCCAGAGATAGTCCTGCTGCCAATGGAGAACTAGTACCAAAATCATCTTGTTCGGAGGGGTCATCTGTAAAAGCGGCAACATCTCCAACAAGTTTGAATAAAATTCTGCGAGTTTGTATGTGACTAGGGAAATCGAAGTACATTGGTGTTCCAGCCCTGGCCTCTGGTAACCGGTACTCAGCGATGGTTACCATACCATGGTAATCCTGCAATCAATCTCACCATCAGATCTTCAAAAAGTGGCAAAACCCATACATTTGCTACTGAAATAGATAGTGGTACATAGTATCAAATAAAGGGAATAATTCAATTAGTGCAACCTCTCAGGCTCTCAAGTTTTTTTTAAAATACTTTAAAAAAAAAAAAACTTGCACTGATGTATAAACGTCATACCCACTTCTTCACAACATAACCCTGAAACCCTTGCTAACAGGAAAAACAGCCAAATGGTCCAATGCACACCACGAAGTGAGAAAAACATTACAGATACATAATACTAACTGTAGGTCATGCTCAAAACGCATCTAGTAGCATATCTTAGAAAAGGTCATAAAAACTAAGAATCCCGAGAAAATAAGCAATTTTGCATCCTTTATGATTAATAAATATAACTGTTGGGGCCCAGGGGAAGACAGAGAAAACATCATTCGTCACTTGACAGACAAAAGATGCCTCTTGATAGCCAAGTAAAACTCTATTGAATCCCATTTGGCATGGATCAAAGACGCTATTGAGCTAATGCTAAGTTGTTACCTAGAAGTAACACACTATATGTTGAATGACCTAGGGCTGCTCCATTAGCACCCAAGTGTAATGCGTAATGAGTAAGGGTTCCTACATTTATTTGGACGAAAGTCGGTAAGGAAATTAGCCTAGGAGCAGGCTTGGTAGCTGAAAAATTGGGCCTTCAATGAGTATATCAATGGAGGCAGTGGAAGGATTTATGTGAGGAAAAATTAACATAATGTGCCTTCAAGAAATTAAGTGGGTTGGATTAAAGGCTATGGAGCTTGACTATGCAAGTTAAACTTTGGTACATAGGGGAAATCAAAACAAAGAATGAAGTTGGTATTATTTTTGAGAAGAATTGGAAGAAGAATATGGTGAAAACAAAAAGAATTGAGGATAAGATCTCATTCTTAAGAATGATTGTTGTGAGTGATACTATTAATATCACAAGTACCTATGCGCCTCAAGCAGGGACAAAAGCAAGGACAAGATTTGGAAGAACTGGTTCAAGGAATTCCACATGGAATAAAAATTTTCATTGGCCGGGAACTTCATGGTCATATTGCCAAAGATGCAGGGCCATATGCAAGAACTCACATAATTTTAAGATTGTTGACCCTTGTTTTAAAAAGCAGGAGGAGCATTTACTCACACACAATAGTAGATCCTCAAGGTCGTAAATTGACTTCTTTTCAGCAAGAGAATGAAACTTAGGTTCCATGAATTAAATTTAGGTTTCAAAAGATTTTGTTGAAAATAAGTTGCAAATATAGATTCAGACAATGCAAATATGGGAGTGTTAATTGCAAATCAAGCATTTAAGTCTCCAAGATTACTCTCAGTAATTTGCAACTAACATGTCCATATTTCCAACTGAATAAATATTTGTAGTTTACCTATCAACAAACTATTTTGAGACCTAACTGTCATTAAATTGATCTTTTGGGACGTAAGTATCATTCTCCTCGTAAGAATTTCCTATAGAAGACTCTATAAAGTTTGATAAGGCATTCCTTGAAGAATTGGACTCTATAGCGTAGGGTCTTGGGCCTTGATCTGCTTGTTAAGAGTAAAAAAAACTTTCAAGAGAGAACTACTAGAGGAAGGTGATTGAGAGGGTCACGACTCAGAAGTGCTGACAGCATGGGGGATGAGATGGCTTAGAGGGTTAGGCAGGTTGTTATAGCAATTTTAGGCGAATAAAAATGTCTTGGACCTAAAAATAGGAAATCTTGGTGGTGTAACAGAATCCAGCTCAGCATGATAAAACAAAACATGTTGAAATAGATAGGCACTTCGTCAAGGAAGAGATTGAAAGCGAAGTAGCATGCCTGACCTATTTTGATGAATGCATAAACAAGCTGGACATGATCAATATCTATGATCCAACTCGAAGGCAAGTGTGGAAATATTCATCATTCATTTTATAGCTGTTATTTTAGCATTTATTAGTTATTATTAGACATTATTAGGTTTTATGATCTTTTATTCTCTTGTCCCTCACTGGGTGTATATATTCCGATGTGACCTGTCATTCTGAATAAGAAACAGTTTTTTTCTTTTTTTGACATTCTCCACAACAACATGGCAAGTACATGCAATCTTTCACATAGCTTCAGTCAACATACCCAAGTACAGCATGCTCCAGAGTAGATACAGAAGAGCAAGAGCAGTAGTCACAAATAAATCATAATTTTTAATACAAAATAAATCATTATATACCACGTGAAGAAGGTTCTAAGAATTATGATCAGGGGAAGAAATAAAATGAACAAAATCAGAAGTTTTGAAAAACACAGCACTTGATAGGACTTCTGTGGATATACAGAGACCAGCGGAACACATAAAGCAGTATAAGTTAATCTACTAAGTACCTGGAGAACAGATACTTGTATATGCAACACAGCTGGGGAGATGTATCTATCATCCACAAGGGCCAGAAAATTTTGGCCATGAAAATTTGAAGTGGGTGAATGAGTAACCCGTGGCTTTATTACATTATAAGCATCAAGGCGAAATCCAGCAAGCAAGGGCGAAACAGGGGACAGATACAGCTCTAAAACTAGATCATTGTGCAATAACCTCTCAGCCTCAACTGGAACCTAAACAAAAGTTTCATCACTGAAATATTTGAGATGAATGAAATATTGGAACAAACTCTAAAAACAAACTGGTTTCCACAACGGGTTAAGGACAAATTAATATGGCATACCTTGAATCTATTTAATTGTGGAGATCTCTCTAACCATGTCCTCAGGTTCAACTGATCAGTGCTTTGCTGTGACTGAATATCAAATTCCTTCCTAACAGGGCTTCCAACTACTAAAATCGTCTTGGCATGAAGGCAAGGTTCACTTCCATCAAATCCTCCAAAAGAGGCTCGTCGAGTTACTTTGGCAAAGGGGTTCTCCTCTAGAGCCAACAGATTAATTTCATTTTCAAGATTACATGAACTTGAGCCGGGTTGCTGAAGGCTGAATGTTATCCAAATTATTCGACAACGAACTGACTTTTTGAAAGCAAAAGTTATATGTCTAGGCACTTTATGTTCTCTTCCTGACTTTTCTATCCCACTAAATGCTGCGGAATTCTTGATCAGAGAGTGGACATCCCATTTCCCCATAAACGATCTTTCCTCCTTGTGTATTTTATTACTTGCCCAGATTTGCACCTGCACCAACATAATGCTTCCAGATTTTACTTATTAATTCAATAAACAATTAAAAAAAATACTAGAACACATGGATAATGTGGACTTACAATTGGAGGATCAACCAAGGAGTAGCCACATGGACTGACAATTAATATAACCCCATTAACATCAGAAAGGTCACCAAGAACAATCGCAAATTCAACAGACGAGGCACTAGGTGGTGCTTTCCAATATTGAGAACCAAAATCAAATGGCGCAAGCAATGACAATGAAGGTGCAGAATCTATTGCTGTTTCAACCTGCTATTGTAGAGTTAGTAAATAATATAAAGAAACTAAAGAAATCATATAATGTAAAGACTGCAAAAAGGAGAGAAGGGGTTCCTCTTTGCCCCACTAATGAAACTAAGAGCTCACGCTATTCAAGCCATTACGGAGATGGAAAAAACTTGTGGGAGAACTAATATACCTATCTCACACACGAGTAGATATAAACTGTGTCAATGTAGTAGCTCATTTCATGAGTAAGCCATAGGAAGAATATATGGAAGCAGTTTTCAAAATTCTCAAGATCTTTTGATGGCGTTCTTTTGAAAAAAGTGGATCCAGAGATATTGAAGTATATGCTAATGCAGATTAGGCTTGCTTTGTAATAGACTTATTGATTTGGAAATAATATGAAATATGTTTCTTGTATTATTCACATTGAGAATGAGGAGATATATACACAAGGGAGGAGCCTAGGCATTAATGGCTCATTATTAGGAGATAATATCGTATCATATCTAATCTGATCCTATGCTATCATATCTGATATCCTATACTAATTACAATAATATTTCATATCTTTACACTCCCCCTCAAGTTGGAGCATAAATGTCAATCATGCCCAACTTGTTACAAAGATAGTTAACCCGAACCCCATTTAAAGCTTTAGTAAGGAGGTCACCCAGCTGATCACTGGATTTCACATGTCCTGTTGAAATGAAGTTTTCCTTGAGCTTATCCCGAACAAAATGACAGTCAATCTCGATGTGTTTTGTGCGTTCATGGAACACCGAATTAGATGCTATGTGTAAAGCTGCTTTATTGTCACACCATAGTTTTGCTGGTAATGAGGTTTTAAGACCAACCTCCTTCAATAATTGATATATCCAGACTATCTCACACACAGATTGTGCCATAGCTCTATATTCTGCCTCTGCACTTGACCGTGACACCACATTTTGCTTCTTGCTCCTCCAGGATACCAAGTTTCCTCCTACAAAGACGCAATATCCTGTAGTGGATCTTCTAGTGGCTTTTGAACCACCATGATCAGCATCACAAAAGCACTCAATATCTGTGTGACCATGATTTCTGTATAATATCCCGCGACCTGGGGAACCTTTCAAGTAATGAAGTACATGTTCTAAGGCTTCCCATTGTCTGATAGTAGGTGAGACCATAAACTGGCTAAGTACACTGACTGGATAGGTAATATCAGGACGGGTCACAGTCAGATAATTCAATTTTCCAATCAATCTGCGATACCTTTCCGGATTCTCAAACGGTTTGCTCTTAGCAGCATCAATGGGATTCTCAACTGGTATGCTCCCATCAGCATCAAGCAATGGATTATAAACCATAGGAAAACTGTTTGGTGCAGCCCCCAGCTTCCCTGTTTCCTTTAACAGATCGAGGACATACTTCCTCTGTGTCAATAGTATGCCTTTCTTACTCCTCAAGACCTCAATTCCGAGGAAGTACTTCAATGGACCCAGATCTTTTGTTTGAAAGTGAGAGTTAAGAAAGGATTTGAGTGATGAGATCCCTGAGGAATTACTCCCTGTAATCACAATATCATCCACATACACAACTAATAGAATCATGCCGATGTCTGTTCTCTGATAGAACACAGAGTGATCACACTTGCTTTGACACATGCCAAACTTCTGCACAACAGTACTAAACCTGTCGAACCATGCCCGGGGACTCTGTTTCAGGCCATATAAGGATCTCTTGAGATGACATACTTTCCCACGCTCCCCCTGAGCAACAAAGCCTGGCGGTTGCTCCATGTAAACTTCCTCAAGAAGATCACCATGCAAGAAGGCATTTTTGATATCCAACTGATGGAGATCCCAGCCATAAGTTGCTGCCAGAGAAATAAAGAGACGAACAGAGGAAAGTTTTGCGACAGGGGAGAAAGTCTCAGAATAATCTATACCATAGGTTTGAGCGTAGCCTTTAGCAACCAAGCGTGCTTTAAGGCGATCAAGAGAACCATCAGCACGGGTTTTAGGGGTTAAGACCCATTTACACCCAATAGCCTTCTTCCCTGCTGGTAAGTCAACTAAAGTCCAAGTGCCAGCCTGGTCAAGGGCCGCCATCTCCTCCTCCATAGCTGCACGCCAACCCGGGTGGGCCAAAGCTTCATGAAGGGTCTTAGGCACGGAGACAGAATCTAAGGAAGAGACAAAGGCACGAGAAATAGGGGAGAGGTGGTTATATGAAACAAATGAAGAAATAGGATGGGTGCAAGTACGTGTACCTTTGCGAAGAGCAATGGGCAAGTCAAGGGAAGGGTCTGGTTCAGGAACCGGAGGTGTCTCGGAGTGGGAGATAGGTGTCGGCTCAGGATGCAAGATACTCAACTCAGGATCTGATGACGAAGCAGATAGTGGAGGGGCAGAACCTGGTGCAGTAACAAGGGTTTCCTTTGAACGTCTTGTGTAAACATGAGACACGGGTGGTCGTGCAGGAGGCTGAGCAGGAGCCAGAACCGGAGGTGGTGGAGTTGACAGTGGGACAACAGGGTATACTAGAAGATCATCCTCTTCCGCAGAGGGAGGAGGTACAGGAGAAGTGGAAGGAGAAAAATAGGGAACGGATTCTTGAAAGGTGACATCTGCAGAAACAAGATAACGATTAAGAGTAGGAGAGAAACATCGGTAGCCCTTTTGAACCCGAGAGTAACCAAGGAAGACACACTTAAGAGACTTTGGATCTAATTTAGAGACAGAGGGTCGCACATCTCGGACAAAGCAAACGCACCCGAAAATCCTAGGATCAATGGGAAACAAAGGTTTGGAAGGAAAAAGGGTGGTGTAGGGAATGGCACCATCAAGGATGGAAGAGGGCATGCGATTAATGAGGAAGCAAGCGGTGGAGACAGCATCAGCCCAGAAAGGTTTCGGAACCTTCATGTGAAACAAAAGTGCTCGTGCCACCTCTAGGAGATGACGATTTTTACGTTCGGCAACACCATTTTGAGCTGGTGTATCAACACAAGAGGATTGATGGAGGATGCCGTTTTGAAGCATGTAGGACTGGAATGAAGCAGAGAAGTATTCTTTGGCGTTATCACTTCGTAAGGTACCAATGGAAGAATTAAATTGATTCTTAATCTCAGCAGAAAAGGCACAAAAATGAGAAAATAATTCGGAACGATTTTTCATTAAATATAACCAAGTTGTACGGGAATAATCATCAACAAACGTAACAAAGTATTTGAAACCAGCAGTGGACACAGTAGGACATGGACCCCAAACATCAGAATGAACTAACTCAAAAGGGGATGAAACCCGTTTATTGACTCGAGAGACTAAAGGAAGACGATGATGTTTAGCAAACTGACACGACTCACAATCTAAAGATGACAAATATTGAAAATGAGGATAAATCCTTTTTAAAGAAGACAAAGACAAGTGACCCAAACGGCAATGTGCTTCAAAGGGAGTGACACCACCGGTACAGGCTACTGCATGCGAACCCTGCTCGTCAAGGAAATAGTGTCCACCAGATTCATAGCCCCTACCAATAATCTTCTTCGTCAAAAGATCCTGTATCAAGCAATGATCAGGAAAGAGTGAGACCCAGCAGTTTAATTGGCGAGTAAGTTTACTAGGGGAAAGCAGGTTAAATGCAAGGTCAGGGACATCTAGCACAGATGACAAGGGAATAGAAGGGGTAGGTTTAATAGTGCCAGATCCAACTACTCGGGAATGGGAGCCATTAGCAATAGTGATAGTTGAAGGATTGGCGTAAGAATTATAAGTGGAAAAGAGATGGCGGTTACCTGTCATGTGGTCAGTAGCACCAGAATCTATGATCCATTTGGAGGAAGAAGAGACAAGAGCAGTAGCCTGATTACCTGTAGCAGCAGGAGCACTCACGGATGATGTGGAGGATTTTAATTGGGCATATTCATCAGCGGAAATCGTGACCGTGTCCTTGGCTAGCGTTGCCACATGTGCAGAATTATTACGTTGCTGCTTATTTTGCAGCTTACGACACGTACGCTTCGTATGGCCCGGTTCTTTGCAGTAGTAGCATATCACTCCACTCGACTCTGGAGTCGCTCCCCCTTGCCTTGAATTCCCACGGTTAGTCGTTCCACGACCATCATTTTGGCCTCGACTGATTAGTGCACTAACAGGAGCAGTGGTAGGCAGTGATGAAAGATTCTCAGTCCTCATCAGACGAGAGAACACCTCCTGAAGGGTAGGAATCTCAGACCCAGACAGAATTTGAGAGCGAACAGTTTCATATTCAGGCGGAAGACCAGTGAGAAAACTCATAATAGCCATGTTCTCTCGTTGGGCCTGTTGGACCTTCAGATCAGTACTAAGAGGCATAAGAACATTCAATTCTTCATACATCCGTTTAAAATCCATGAAGTAGGTCTTGAGAGGGCGATCCTGCTTCTCTGCGCGATAAAACGCTTTGCAAACCTCATAAACACGAGAAATATTACCCTTGCCTGAGTATAAAAATTCTAAATAATTCATCAGTTCCTTAACAAATTCACAGTGAGAAATAGAAGGAATAATCTCACTGTCAATGGAGTTGCGAATCTGTAAGAAGAGCCGAGCATCATCCCTTAACCACGATTGACGGGTGTCTGTGGTCGGAGGGTCTTCAGTTAAATGATTCTCCTTCTCAATGCTCCGTAAGTAGATACGAATAGTTTTACTCCAATCTAGATAATTCGTCCAGTTTAATTTGTGCTCAGTAATCTTAACGACTACGGGAACCACCTCAGAGGTAACTGTAGACTTAGTATCACCCATGAGAGATAAATAGAAAAGAGATAATAAGTCTAGCAATGACAGGAAAGAATAAGTAGCCACAAATGATCACTCCAGGGACCAAACAACACCTCCTACAATCTATAGAAGGCAGGAACAGCAATACCAGTCTGAAAACGTTACTGTTCACAAGGCACAGTAACCAAACAGCTCTGAATCAACACACAGGGGACAGATCCAGACCTGAAAAGTACCAGGGATGCGCCGGAAAATGCAAGACGAAGTCGACGAACTGCTCGGACGGCGAAAAACGCGGCGGCGCGTGAACAGTACCACCGCGGGTGACGGCGCGTGACGGTCACGCGCTGCTCGGACGGCCGCGAAACTTCAGGGATCGGCCGGTCGGCGCCGTGCGATCCTCCCTGGCCGGCGCGTGCTCCGTTCAGAGGCCAAATACAGAAGCCCTAATGATGGGCACAAAGCTGGACGGTAGGAACAGTACGTGTACGGCGCAGCAACGTTCAAACAGAGGGAAATTACTCCTAAACGGACTGCTCTGATACCATATTGATTTGGAAATAATATGAAATATGTTTCTTGTATTATTCACATTGAGAATGAGGAGATATATACACAAGGGAGGAGCCTAGGCATTAATGGCTCATTATTAGGAGATAATATCGTATCATATCTAATCTGATCCTATGCTATCATATCTGATATCCTATACTAATTACAATAATATTTCATATCTTTACAAGACTAAAGGCCCATTCCAAGATACTGTACCTTTGTGTGGGGTACTTTAGTCACACAGAGGAGCAGGAAACAATTTGCAATGGTTTATAGTAGTGTAGAAGCTGAATATAGAGCTTTAACACTAGGCATATGTGAAAGAATGTGGATTAAGAGGCTATTGACAGATCTGAAAATTAATGTTGGGTCACAAATGAAGATTGCTATAACAAAATGGCTACTGATGGGATTGCCAAAATCCCATACATTATGATCATGCAAAGCACATGGAGATAGATTGGATAGAGCCTGGTAGATCTGGCATATGAGCATGCAAGCAGACAAGTGGTAGGTTTGCTTACTAAAGCTATCACAAGGTTATGGAGACTTGTTAGTATGGGATATTAAATATCACACTGACTAGTACAAGACACTAAATAGGCTATTTGAGTAAGTTGGTTTTCCCACCTATATAATTACCTATCAATTGCTATTAGTGCTAGATTATTTGTTGTTTCTGGTTGAGCAGAGGGCCACCTATAGAGGGTTCTGATTAGGCACGAGCCAAGTGTCATAAAGTGCAACTGCTAGGACGTCAACTTTCCATAGGTTGCTAATAAATAAAGACTTGGTAGTATGGGATGCTAAGTCCCCACAATGAGTAATATGGGATGCTCAAGGAATTTAGCGTTCCGTAAAAGGCTATCCACAAAAGATTCTAACAAGAAGGAGACCAGGTGAAGTGTTATGAACTATAGCTGCTAGCATGTTAGCTTTTTGTGGGTGGCCAACTGATGGGGGCTTGGTAGCATGGGGTATTAACTCTCACATTGGGTAGTACGAGAAGCGTAAGTGGGTTGGTTCTTCCACCTTAGGTACATATCACACGGTTTAGATTTGAAGAGTTCAGTAGCAAGCTGGAAATCAAAATGCTGGACATCAATTCATCAGCTTGAGTGGAAGCATGGGGGATGTTACTGTATAATGCTGATTAGAATTTGTTATCTTTTATCTTTATTAGGTATTGTTTAAGCCAATTTTTTAGGAGTTTATCCCTTAGCATTTATATTTTATTTCCTCTGATTTTCCTCATAAACTTCAGCAATTTGAATAGCAGGCCTGTCGCTATCTACCCTACATATTTTTTCAGTCATCTTGCTGGAATATGTGAAATTATTCCCCATGGTTGCTCAACCTGTAACAAGTTAAACTCCTTCAATCCTTAAGTATTCATCAGCTACTAATTAGAATATCATCTATCAATTGGAACCAAGACCAAAAAATTCTGAAAACTAGTGAGTTTAAGGTACCGCGTGGCACCTTAAACCTTAAGTTCTCAAATTAATCTTCCTTCCCCTATGACAAAGTGACAATTCTCAGTTGCCTTGCAATACTGAATAAATCTTTTACATGATTAGTGTTTGATTGGTCTAATCACTGCTGAGACTAGTAATATGTCTTGCATCTCAACATATTTTAGTTAAAAACAGAAGCATGTAGTAAAACAATGTGTATGAAGACACTGAAAAAGCAAAAGTGCAGAGGACAAAATCAGAATTAGCATCCAATTAAGAAAAACAACAGAAGAAAAGAAAGAAAAGAAAATGGAAGAAAGAACAAAAACGAGATACCGGGTGTAAAAAGCTAGCAAATGGAAATTCAGCAAGGGATTCATGTCCATCGAGCAACTGCTTTATGGCCTCACCACAAAACTGGTTGTCCATGGACTGATTTTTTTCCAAAAGACAATCTGAAGGTGATGATCCAATAATTTGCTTCAAAGCATTGTAAGCTGCCTTTTCCACACGAGCACCTCTTCGCAAGCTAATCAAAACCCTAACATAGTCCAACATCAGTGCATCAAGCACAATACCCTGGCAGCATCGTTTACAAATTGTACCATCAAGTGTTAATACACGATTGAGAGGGACGTCAACTTGGCAGCCATAGTTTGATCCGCCCTGGCTGGATGCGTTATTAAAATTTATGATCTCTGGTGAATTATGCCCAGCAAGCAGGAGTGCCCCTCTCCCAGCGCAGCAAACTCTGCAAACCATTCTTTCACATTGAGAACACAGGAACGTCGGTTCTGAATGTCCACCAGATGACATAACATCGGTTTTTTTACATTCAGTGCGCACCTCACACTTGCCACCTAAACAGGATTCCCCAATTCTGGTAATATTCCAAAAATCTATAGCATGATCATCAATACTTTCCAGACCAATAGAAGCAATTAGCTTATCTTCGAGTGAAGCTTCTCCAAGTAGCGCAAGAGTGTTTGCAGCTCTAGATAATCTTCCCATGTATGCTTCATCAAGTAGTGTATTTGGATTTATTGTTGCAGGATCCAACCCAACAGACAGTAGGGCTCTATCCCTTTCAGCAGCAGAAATGTTCAGCTGCATGCGTTCAATTTCAAGTTTCATGGCTTCTATGAAGTTTAGTTTTCTCCCCTACAAAAATTAAACAGGCAATGAATTGCATCTCCTTTAAATGCTGTCTGCTAAATTATTGATTCAAGGTGAATATTTGTCACACTTGTCAGATAGATGTTCTCTATTTTTATTAAAAATGAGAATCATAAGTAAAGAGACAAAGTACGGAATGATGAAAGAGAAACAAAAGAGAGGAAGATGAACCTCATCCAAGCAATTAAGCTCATTATTCCTCAGCACATTAATAGCGATGGACAGATCTCAAAAGACAACACTAACCTATTCCTTATTTATGGTAAGACGTACTCCCCCTAGTCTTAAATGTAGAAATTAGATAGCTAATCCATGTAGATTAAGAAAACAAGTTAAATTAGTTATTTGTAAAAAATGTGCGTTAATTTCTATGAGATACCCTTCCTTTTAATCATTTATACTAGAAACTTTCATCCACCAAAGTGTTCAATCAAGAGGGCAATTTGGACAAAAAATAATAAATATGGGAGACTTAGGGCAAAAACAAACTCCTTAATTAACTCTTACATATAAAATTGGAAGGAGTAGGCGAGTAGCATGGCACCAACGAAATTACGAGCATGGGTTCCAACACCCAATACACCAATTGACTACATAAATGCACATCATCATAAAGTTTTGGCCTCCTAGCCTTCTAAATCAAATCAATTTTGAAGTTCCCCAAAGTCCAAACTCAAAGGGGACACCCAACATTAAAAAAAAAAAAACGAGGGAAAAAAAAAAAACTAAACTAACAACTTATTCCACACAGGCATGCTGCTGTAAAATTGTGCGTGTGGTTTCCATTAAATATATTGTGAAAGGAAGTTAATAACCTATATAACAAATTATAAATATTTTCTTTTAGCTTCCCTATAGAGAAAGTGTCCGCTTTAATTAGTGCGCAGAGAAATTGGGGGTCCAAAGGATGTACTTATAACTGAAGTAAAAAAAGCTAAAGAATGATGTAACGGTCCAATTTAAGTAGCATGGGGAAAAAAACTGACAGAAATATATAATATATTGATGACTCACACACATGAAACAAGCAGCCAAACTAGTTAAGAAAGCCGAAACCAGTAATAGAGAAAACAAGCAGAAAAAGAAGAGCAAAATTTAGATTGTTATTCTGTATGGGTAAAACAATAAAATTAACAATTGTTCCAATCAATGTTAAGGGTATAACAACATACCAAACTCGGTCCTGTAAGAGATTTCAGGCAACTTAGATATTGCTCAGCACCGGGATCTGAACTTGCATCTTTAACTGCAGAGATGTTGTTATCACTTTTCACACTCTGATATTCAACAACTGCTTGATCCAAGAAATCAAGTGCATCGCTTTCATTATGGACAACATTTTCAGTACCAGGTTGAGCTAGTGGGTGTGCAAGTGGGTCCTCCCCAGTCAGAAGGTCAATGAAAGGATCTGCAGAAGTGCTTCTTTGCACAGGTTGTGACAACTTTTTCGGGGATGAAGAATTATATGGATTCCTATCTGAGCCTGATAAAAAGGGATTGCTCTCCTTTTGAAACTTCTTGACATGCTCAACTAATCTTCTACCAGGGCCTTCATCAGTAAGCATGCCCCTCCAAGGAAGTGTAACTCCAAGGATCTCAATCTATAGCCAGAGTAAATCAGTAAAAAGAGAATAAAAGTGTAAAAAACAAAATTTATAATCCTCCCTGAATAATAAGACTACAGAAATAATATATTACTAAGACAATTGAGATAGGCTTAAGGTACAAATTTGTCTCAAAACTGCTACGATTTTAATCTTCCACAGCATATTTGCACCCAATAAACTTTCAGGCAGACAATGCTTCTTAGTGTAAACTTCAAATTTGCACCTAAACCCATTGAGATATGCCCAAAGATGTGCAGATGCAATTAGAGCATTCCACCATGGATTTGATAATCAATATACTTGGATGAATTTTGTATGAACAACATTCAAGGTCGCATTTTTTATATCCATCCAGAAATTTATATCGTGTGAGAAATAGTTCTGATGTCTCTACCTCACCAAGAGTCAAGTTACTCCTTCCTGAAACAGCAGGATAAAAGGTAAGCGCCACTACACGAGTTAGGAAGTCTAGCTCTCCTTCAACTTCCTCAAAATCATACAGTGACAAGGACAACATTTCTTGAGCACTTAAGCGAGAACCTGCCCCAGTTATAGCCATATCTTCTGCACTAATTGCCCCAGGTAGGGGTATTACTATATTTGTCCCATTTGCACACTGTGGAATAGAAGCACCCTGCCCATAGATGCCAGATGAGACCAGAAATCAGAATTCAAGTTAGTTCAATAACAGACACAAGAAATTACCTGCAACCATATACATAACAAGCTAGTAGTCCAATAAGAAACAGGCCACGAGTTGCAAAACTTAGTATAGCTAAAACATCTCAATCTCAAACTTTTGCACAGTCAATTGAAGTTTTTCTCTTGATGACATTATAAAATTTGAAGCTACTCTAGGTTCCCACTAATGTTCAAACAGATCTTGAATTATAAGCTTTCTATTTTATATTTAAGAAGATAAAAATTTACATAAATTATGTAGAGTCTACAATCATATAGATCACTAAAATGAATGTGAATGCCCTCATCTGCTTCAATAAGCTAGCCATCTCATCCTGCAGTAATATCAAACTCATCAATGAATTCCAAAAGTGATGATGTAAAGAAGGAAAAACAGAGACCTCGAGGACTAGGTTAAGCCCATCCAAATAACGCCCTGTCCTTACATCAAGAGTTGATGGAAATGTTGAATCATCTGCACCATGGGATATTGTAAGAAGAAGCTGACAAACATGGCAAGGCTCACCAAGATAGATAAAAACTTCAACAACATCAGCAGGCTGTGTGCAAATCTGAGAAACATAAAAGGAGAGATTCTAAGTGAATGAAATTGAGAAAGCTTATATGAAAATTATGGAAGAATTGAAATATAAGAGAACAGCTACAGCCACAATTTATGCATCAAGTTCCCTTCAGAAGAAAAAGAAATAATTAAGCATACCCAGACCAGATCTTTGCTCTTGAAGCTCAAAAGACTAGCTTCACCTCCAGAACTGGGAAATAAGTTTGCAACAGGCTTGAGAAGGAAACCAGATGGTCGAGAGGGTACCTGTGACGATTAGATATCTTCGTTATTTGATGACTATTCTTTATTGAAAGCATAGGAGTTAAAAATGTCAACAACAGAAAGTTTTATTGTGCAAACAGTATTGTAATTTCCACAGTCAGTGGTAGTGGAATATGAATATGAGGGTAATAGATAAGAGATCCCTAAAGGCCACCCGGGGGGGGGGGGGGTTCAGTTTGGATTAAGATCAAGGAAATTTGGATAATTCCAAACGCCATTCTCCTATGCATCATTGCATCATCATTCACAAAAATAAAGAGATTTTACACATATGGTTGCTACACTGTAAATTTAAAGATCACTATCCTACAAGCACAACTTTGCAAGAATTTATCTCTAAATTGTCGTCTCAAATTGTTAAATACAGCAATAGATCTCGTCTGTACCTGTTTTGCCGTGTTTACATAACTATATAACAGAATCAATTACGAAGTAATTCAAATCAATATCTTAAAATCTACCAACTTTGGGCATCGTTATTCCACCCTTCATATTATTATGCACTTCATGTTTCCTAAGAATAATAGTTTGTCACCCTTGTTTCCTAAGACTAATACTTTTTTTTGTAGCCAAGTTGCTTCTATAGGACTTGCGGTGCTTGGTTCTCCATCACCAAATTACTTTTATTTTTCCCTTCAGATGAAGGCTATTTCAAACTGCAAGCATATTTCAGAACCTACTGGAGCTTTCATTGCAAGTAACATACATGCAAAGGTTGAAGTGAAATTGATGGAAGATGCTTGAAAAGCCTCGTTCCAAGAAACATTTCTAATTGCTTTTGACGAGAACTATCCACAACAGCATTCTTATATCTTCTCTGCAAAGTGATTTTCATATTCTGTGCTGCAGAAAACTGTTTAAACTTTCCTGTATCTTCATTAAATATGCTAAGAATTTGGCTGTGCATTGCTTTAGACCCAGTATAAATAGTTGCGTGAATATCCCCAGCAAGCAGGAAAAGATCAGCTAATTGAGACACTGGAGACAGAATTGTTGATCTCTTGAAATCCTCAAACGTCATGTCAAATCTCTTCCAAGGCTTATCAGGGCATGGATGCATCCATGTCGTGGTTCTAGTATTATGGTCAATATAATATGTCTTTCCAGTAACAGCATCAGAACGCTTTTCCCAGCCAGGAGGCAGAGGAGAAGTATATCCACCATAATTATTCATTGACTGATAACCAAATGCCAGATCACTATCTAGTAAGATTCCAAGTCGTCTACATTGCTCCATAAAGACTTGGAGACAACCAAAAAAACTAGCAGCATTGGTCCTATCCAAGGAATCAGCACAGTTAAAACGAATTACCCCATTTTGATGTGTTCTCAAACAGAATGCCCCATCAAAATTGTCATTGCAGATGACTTCACCTCTGCAATCGTCAATTCGTTGTCGAGAAGGCAAATAATCCCCTTCAGAAATTCCAATAGATACAGTAGGTGCTTTCAAAAGTTTCCATAACCCTTCAATTGTCAGCTGTTCACCTTTTAATTTTATACTAGCATGCCAGTCATAATTTATCAAATGAACCCGTGTATAAGGAAGTTTTCCAGTTGATCTAACATAGTTTACAGACTCCTCGAAATGCTGAACCAAAATGGATTCTGACTTTCCTTCCCCATAGCGAAGCAAGTTAATGCATACAATGGGAACCAAAGCCTTTCGCCTGGGATTCTCACTAGCAGCTATATGTAGGTTCCGAGTATCATATCTCTTGCTCAATCTTTGATAGTACTGCACCGTTCCTCGGTAAGGATCACAATTTGAAACATAAATTTCAGCTTCTGCAGCGGTCAGTTTTAGCTCTGCACCCCACCAGATAGGAATTGTTCCTCTTCGCCAGACATATGTGTTAAAAGGTACACTCTGACCTGCCCGTTTAGGAACCCATACAAGCTGCTCACATTCCACCTCATTTCCTGTACACAAGAAAATTAAACGTATAGCACTTCCAGGCAGCGCATGAAATTATTGGAGTAACGTCAGATGAAGCATAACAAAAAATGAAAGCAGTAGTATTTTAAGTTCCATACTTCCACTACAGAATAAATTTAGGTGAAGACTGAAGTAAGTGATCAATGGATGTTTCCATATTTTATAATTGTCAGACAAGAAATCAGCACAGAAACAAGCTAAAGATTCAAAATTATATACATATCAATGTAGTTAATACTATAATATTTAATATTTAGTGTATATCTACTCCCACGATCCTAAGCAGATTAGGAGATCAGATTTAAATTTAAATTACTCCTAGATTAATTGCGTGATCCTCTGTAATCTCCGTCTATCTCAGTCTATCTCTTTTCCTTATATATATCCGATGTACAGTGCACTCTGAATAACAGATCAATATTACTCTGTATACCACGTCTTCATGGTATTAGAGCCGGCCGACGTCCATCCATCGTCGAGTCCGGCAGGTTCCTCTCATTCCTCCTCTACATCGGAGGACGTACAAGCTGGGTCGAACCCCAGGCAACGTCTGACCACGATGGACCCCCCTGGTGGATCGCCTACGCACAACTCTATCTCGACCAGTAATTCCTCAGCGTCTACGGTCAGTTTCGATGCCTCCTCCATTACCCTTGTGTCGGAAAAACTCACCGGCAGCAATTATAGAGAGTGGGCTCAAGCAATGCGGTTGGCTATTGGAGGCCGCGGAAGGCTCGGGTTGATCACAGGAGAGTCGACCGCACCCAGTGATCCCAAGTCCTCGGAGATGCAGCGATGGCTCACGGATAATTCACTCGTTTGCTCCTGGTTGATTAATGCAATGTCACCTACACTTAAACGGAGTTTTTGTACTTGCCGACTGCCAAAGAGATATGGGATGCTGTTCGTGAATCCTACTCTGATGGTGAGGACCTCGCGCAGCTCTATGATCTCAAGACTAGAATCTGGAACATCAAACAAGGGTCTCGCAGCGTCACCGATTACTGGTTGGAGCTTGTCGGATTATGGCAAGAATTGGATATGATCACCGAGGAAGAATGGACGTCATCCGCTGACGCTGCACGACACAAAAACACTGTTGAGAAAGAACGTGTGTTTCAGTTTCTCACCGGCTTGAATCCTGACTTTGATGACCTTCGCAGCCGTATTCTCAGCCGTGCATCACTACCTAGCACTCGTGAGGCGTTCTCTGAAGTCCTCTGTGAAGCATCACGTCGTAATGTTATGCTAACCCCAACATCTATCTCTGACTCCTCTGCTCTTATCAGTAAAGGGGCGCCCTCGTCATCCTCCACGAAAGGTAAAGTCACTTGTGATCACTGTAAAAAAACGGGTCACACTCGTGAACGTTGTTGGGACATCCATGGCAAACCAGCTGATTGGAAACCTCGAAAGGGTAAGCCTCGGGGCTATCAGGTATCACCAGAAACCTCCCAATCTTCTGATTCTCTTCCAGCCTTGTCAAATGAGCAAATGCATCAACTACTTATTGCTCTTAAAGGTCTCCCAGCACGGCAACCTTCCCCTGCTGCTTCGGCCTCCGTAGCTCATACAGGTACTCCTCCTTTCGCTTTTCACACCTCCTTCACATCCAACAAATGGATAGTTGACACTGGTGCTACTGACCATATGACCTCGGATGCTCGCATGTTTGTTACCTATTTTCCCTGTGCTGGTAATGATAATATCACCACTGCTAACGGTACTGGTTCTCCCATTGCTGGAAAAGGCTCGGTTACTATTTCAGATTCCCTACATCTCAATTCTGTCTTACATGTCCCTCATCTGGCTTGTAACCTTCTTTCTGTTAGCAAGATAACTAAACATGCCAATTGTGGTGCTTATTTTTTTCCCACTTACTGTATTTTTCAGGATCTCTCATCGGGGAAGATGATTGGCATAGCTAGGGAGCATGATGGACTCTATTATCTAGACGTCTCTACTGTGACTGCCTTGTGTTCACGAATCAATGGTCTTGTCTCTACTTCTGAATAATGATATTTTATTATGGCATAAACAGATGGGTCATCCTAGTTTCTCTATTTACAACGTTTGTTTCCTCATTTTTCCATTAATAAAAATTTCCATTTACATTGTGATTCTTGTACATTTGCAAAACACCACCGTACACCCTTCCCACCATCCCAATACAAACCCACTCGTCCATTTTCTATAATTCACAGTGATGTTTGGGGTCCGTCTCGCATTTCAAACCGTACCCACTCAAAATGGTTTGTAACCTTTATTGACGATCATACACGAATGACTTGGGTCTACTTACTAAAAGAAAAATCTGCTGTTCCTACTGTCTTTATGGAATTTTTTCAACTTGTCCAAAATCAGTTTAATACCACGATTCAGGTTTATACACAGATAATGGCACTGAGTTTTTTAATCATCAGCTTGACTCTTTTCTAAAAAGCAATGGCATTGTCCACAATAGCTCTTGTCCTCATAGTCCACAACAAAACGGTGTTGCCGAAAGAAAAAATCGACATCTGCTTGAGGTTGCCCGCGCACTCCTGTTCACAAGTAATGTACCTAAATTTTTTTGGGGGGATGCTGTTCTAACGGCCACTCATTTAATCAATCGAATGCCAAGTCGTGTTCTCTCTTTTGTCTCTCCCTTAGATAAACTACGCGAAACTCACCCCGTCACTCATCTTGATCACCACCTTCCGCTTCGTGTTTTTGGTTGTTCTGTCTTTGTTCATCTTCATCACCCTTCTTCTAAACTTGACCCACGTGCTGTTAAGTGTCTTTCTTGGGATACTCATCAAGTCAGAAAGGCTATAAGTGCTATGATCCTACTTCTAAACGTCTCTTTATTAGTCGTGATGTCTCCTTTTATGAGCATGAACCGTACTTTCCCACTTCTTCAATTCAGGGGGAGAGTTGGAATGAATTTCAGTGTGTAGAAAGCATACCTGAGCCCATACCCCCAATGCAACCTACAGAGTCTGTGACGTCCATGGAACCTATTCCTATCCCTCCAAACATTGCACAAGTG